CCCTCATTTTCTTTTATTACGGTTATTTTAGACATTAAACAAAATTACTTACTATTCATATTATTCAATATTTTATGTTAGTGCCACAATAGGTAATTTTATCCAAAGGGTGAAAGAAAAAACCTTAGAATAAACTTGTCATGCCTGAAAACAAAATTCAAACATAATGTACAAAATATACTTATATAATCCATATAAGAATTTTCCAGTGCTCTGCATTCATCGAAACAGAATGTTTGAGTTTATTAGAAGACACCAAATAATGAAAGACCAGGTAATGACCCTAAGAGAAAGATCTCTTTAAAAAAATTCTTCAGGAACTGATTTGGTTATTACCATAATTGGAAGTCAGTGGGGGAGAAAACAAAACTATATATGGAAATAACATTAATTTGAATAATAATTTGAAGCAATCTCAGGGTCCTACCCTGTTAAAAAAAATATGGAGTTTCATCCGGTGAGTGGAGTAAAATGGCAAAAGGAAGCATTTCATTTCGTAAACAGGTTACAATCCTCATCTATCGCGTAAATGCTAAGTTTGAGAGAGTTAAATTTTAAATAATAAAATGCTTTAAAAAGAAATGTCATTTTCATAGTTTATTGCTTTGCTATCAAAGGAGAAACATAGAAACTTCTTTCTCAGAGGCTGAGATTCCTCTCATCAGGGGAAACAGGGTTTTTTTGTTTGTTTCGTTTTATTTTTTGTTTTTTAAAAAGAGGTGATCCAGAGGAATCCTGTTTCCTCAATTACAGAGGGGAGCCTCAGGGAGGAGAGAGCTTTAGAGAGGAGAGGATCAGCAAGGAGAAGGTCAGGGAGAAGGTTGGAAAGAAGAAAGGAGGGATACAGTTAAAGTACAAAGTGAATCACTGTTATAATGGCAGACTAGACTAGTGGCTAAAATTTCTTCTTGAATAAATTGTTAATCCTATTTGCTTTGGTGAGGGTCACTTTCTTGGAAGATGAAAGCCAGTTATGTTGAAATACTTAGATGACGTATCTCTCTATGCATTTGTATATTTCTGTAAGAAACCTTGAGCTTTTTCTCTTCTAATAGGCTCTTCCCTGAAAAAGTAAGGGTAGGAGGCAGAGCACTCTTGCAGGGTGAGCTCATTTCTTGCACTAGGAAGCCAACTTTACACTCGAACTCAGGTGATGGGCCTTTTCTATGGGGGCCCTGAGGAGTCCAGTCATCTAAGACTGCGCTACTTGGAGTTATTACAGAACCACCTGCCAAGTGCAGGAGACCAGGGGCTAGAAACAGTGGTGCTCACAGCAGATGACAAGCTACAGATGTGGAGGCTGCCCTCTGAGTCAGACTATCAGGCAGCATGGGCTGTCTTCTCTGTTGATTCCCCTTCTCTTTGAATGGAGCCCTTACACAGGCTTATTTGGACGCTTCAGTTGTCTCTCTGCTGCAGAACAGAAAGGATGAGGTGGTTCTTCCACCCTGGAGCCAGAGTATTCAAAGAGAAGCATCTTTTCATGGAGGCCACCATGGGACTATCTCTTCCCATTAGTAAAGGGCTTTTTAATTCTGGCTTGTATGTTTTCTAGTACATGCATGAATCCACCTAAATTTCTGCCTTTATTCTTAACTTGGTAGAAAACTTTTAATAGAAACACATCTGCTTGAATAATTCATAAGGGCAGTGGTGTATGAATATAACAATATTATTCAATTTAATTCCAGTCTGTGTTCAAATGATCATAAAATCTAGAATTTTTGTACTTAAGGACTCTAAGTAGCAACATTGATAATTCTTACCTGTTCTTATAAAGCAAAGCACTTAAACAATGTGGCAATATATTACCTGAGCTTATAAATCAAGGGGTCACCAAACTTTGGAGAGAACCATCTGGTAGAGGTTTTGGGCTTTGTGATTCATATGATCTCTGTAACAACTATTTAACTTTGCCTTTGGAGTAGGGTGGCAGACAGATACTATATTAAAACAAATGCATGTGGCTTTGCTCCAATAAAACATTACTTATAAGCATGGATGGAAATACAAACTTAGCCACAGACCTTGGTTTGCTGGCTTTTGCTCTGAATAATTTTGTGAAGTAGGTAGCAAGGGTATTCTTATCCATCTTGAAGATAAAGAAGCCAAAATTTGGGCCATTAAACACAAGCCATTGGTCAGCCCCCAGGAAACAAAATGGATAAAACATGGTTTCTCTCCCAAGGACTTGTGCAGTACTACAGTTAATAACCCTTCCTAAACATGTGAGTTTGCACAGTCACTCAGCACTCAGCCTCAGTTTCCTCATCTGAAAAATGGGGAAAGTACCAGTTATATCAACAAAGTTTGTTGTGACAACTAAGTAAAAATGCTATAATATTAGGCTGAGGATATATCTCAGTTGGTGGAGTGCCTGCCTTGCATACACAAGGCCCTAGGTTCAATCCCAATCCCCAGCATTCCCCCCCAAAATGCTGTATATTTGGTCCATACCAAACACTCAATGAATGTTTTATTTTCACTGCATAAAGATCCCACTCCTATGTTTGCTTAGAGAGCTAGAAAAGGTCTCCAAATTCTGGGAATGAGGATTTAAAAAACAAGCTGGCTTCTGCTGTGAGAATAATGGGTAGCGAAGGGAACAGCATGAATAAGTTCATTGGCATATGGGATGGCACGTCCTATTCTAGGTCATGGTGACTGACAGAGCATGGCAGAAATGCACTGTCTGTAGTGGAGATGCATAAGCTGTCGCTAAGGAAAATATAGTGGAAAGGGGCCAAATGCCAGGCTAAGGTTACATGGGCTTTCTACTATAAGACACAGGAAACCTGAAGGGTTCGATGTAGGTAATTATATGACTAGATCTGTATTTTAGAAAAATCCTTCCAGCAGTATTTTAGAAGATGGAAGGGAAGAATATAATGGTTAGTGACATAATTAAAAGGCTACAACACCCCACGTTGGAGATGATGGCTAGAATAAGACAGCGGGAATAGAAAACATTTGAGAGATATTTGGGGATGCTCTATGGAAAAGACTGGGGTATTTTTGTAGATGCAGAATATATCCCAATTAGCCTGCAAGTCATTGAAAGGCAGAAAAGAAGCCTTTCCTCAAAGTGCCTAACTCAGTGCTGGACATCACTGCTTTGTCATTTATTAAATATGTGAATTAGAATCTGGACTAAGACACTTATAGTTTTCTCATCCCCCAAATAAAGATAACAATCATTCTACTGCTTACCTAGCTGTAACAACCAAAATAACACATACATAATAAAATTATAACCATTGATAAAAGTCATGTCATAAAAATTCTTGACATGAACTAGAATACCTCAAATATTCACCTTTATTTGTTAAAAACCTACTAGATGTGAGCCCACATGCAATAGATCAGCTAAAGATGCTGCATAGCAGGCACCTACACCAGAATTTATTAATTCTGAGGCTGTCTTAGCCTTTTTAATGTATTGTTCAGGCACTTGTGACCAGTCTGCTAATTATACCACCTCTTCTTTTTACTTTAATTCACCTGTTAATTCCCACTGTTAGATCCTTTCTTTGAACTTGACTACCTGAATCAGAAAATGGTCAGGGAAAAGAAGGCAATGAAATAAGATGGAATTCATCCAGTGAGTTAGCTAAAATTAAGCAGCAAAAAAAAAAAAAAAAAAAAAAAGGAAGAAGAAAAACCATTGCCAAGAATGAGACTTCTTCAATTTTTAATGATTCACATTAGATACTGCACTAATTAGTAAAGACAAATGTATCATTTGCTTAAGTACTTATATACACAAAAACATACACTCCTTCACACAAAACACAACAGAATACATTTTTAAAATTATGTCTTCTATTGACATTTTTCAGTAAAGCAAAATTAAGGCAGCTAAACAATGCTTCATTCCAATTTTGTTACTATATTTTATAATTCTAGGAAGAGGCAAAGAAGCACCCTAATTCTTAAAATCATCTATTTTCAGAAGTGAATATACCAAACATTTCAGATAACTAGTTCTAAAGGTTGGTCTGAAACCTATCCTTTGGTCTTAATTTCTTTAACTAAGAATTCATTTTTGTTAATGGTTCTGGGGATTTAACCCAGGAGCATTCTACATGACCTTACCAAGTTGCCCAGGCTGCCCTCTAACTTGTGAACCTCCTGCCTTATTCTCCCAGGGAAAAAAAATATGTGTGTGTGTGTATGTGTGTGTGTGTGTGTGTGTATATATATATATATATATATATATATATATAATAGGTATAATATCTATAATATATATAGGTATACATCACCATGCCCAGCAAAAATTCAGCGTATTGTGGGAAAGTTTTATTAATGTTTCATAATGCACCATTGGGGGATGAAGTTTAGTGGTAGAGTGCTTTTCTAGTATGTTGAGGCCTTGGGTTCAATCCCCAGTACATAACAAAACAATACATTATGAGATTCTCTAAGATTTTTAAGGTTTTCTTTGACAGCCAGGAATAGTTATTACTCCATATTATTTTCCAACAGTTTTAATATGCCAAATATAAACCTTTACCTCCTCTTTGAACACTCTCCAAGTCACATGAATAAATAATCAGCATTAAGATCTTGGGTAATTTCCCCCGAGAGCTGTTGCTGAAGCAGAAATCAACTTCATCTTGTTTGATGTGTATTAAAAGTCATAAGTGAAAATCTCAGGACACTCTTTGATAAATGTTATTTCTCCTATTGACTTTCAACACACGTGAAACAATCTAAACTTGAGCCAAACATGAGAGCCACAGAAATCACCTCTGATGCTTTCTCAGATTACAAAGTAAACTGGCTTTAAAGTCAACTTCTCATATGACTTTTCTGACAGGAAATTTACCTCCAACCTCTGACGCAGCAAGAGAACTCGGTCTTACCAGCCAGTCACCGTGCCCATGTCTTACTCATCCCCATATCCCCAAAGCCCAGAGTAACATGTAGCACATAGCAGGTGCTTGGCCAGCGTTAGCTGACTTACGTGACAGGCTGAAGTGTATTCAAAGACTAACCTTCAAAAGCATTTCTTCATGTTGGGGATTATCAGAATCATAAGGTTCCCTGCGCAGTTTTTCCACATCTGCGATAAGGTTTCTGTAACCAACGATTTGAAGAAGGCAAGCCTGAAGAGAGATTCCCAACCTAAGGTGTTCAAAAAGAGAGGAAACACCCGTGAGGAAGAAATCAGACACATACTTTGGTCTTTGCTCACATGACATATACATAATAGAACTTTTCATGTAAATAGAATATTCAGGAAATTGTTCAAATATAACCTATTTAATAGAAGCACAGTATTTACTGAAACTTCACACATAGGTAACTTAGAATATGGCTAAAATTTGTCTCCCATTCTGGCTTTTTCTTAAGCTACACTATGACAGTTTGGCTTAAATACAAGGGCACTCTTTATGAAGGTGACTTGAAAGTATGTAGAAAATATAGGTAATGATAATGTAGGTAATAATAGGTTCTTAGGGATCATGTAGACCCCCTAGATGAGAATATAAGAATCACTTGAGAAGGATGTATATGAAAGGGTGAGGGAAAAGGTAAGGGGGGGAAGAGAGTGAGAAAGTGTGAGAGCGCCCCCCCACAGGGGCTTTGGGGCAAGAAAATTTCAAAATGAAACAGAAGGAAACAACACTAGCACCACTGCCATCTCTGGGGAGTACACCCAACAGATGAGCCAGTGACAAGAGAAGTCACAGCTTTACAAGATTTCCCAGCACATTCAAACTACTCTTCTTGTCTGAACACACAATCTGCTTTGCTTATTATCAAGTAGTTCAAATTCTGTCCTCCGAGCAGATTCATTTCTATCATTCCCCTGCTCTATCTTCTTATTTTCAAATAGTTTCTTCTAATCTCATTTCCAGGACTCAAAACAATTCCCTATTCCTTCAATTTTCTCTCACAGGACATGGTTTTTAGATGCCCTGTCATCTTGCTGAGCCTGCTCAGAATGAACACTACTTGGTTAACAGCTCCCTGGAGCCATATCACTGAAACAGGAAGCAATCTGGCCACACACAGAGGACCATCACTTCCACTCATCAGAGCACCCTTTCCCTCTTCCTACAACATAGGAGGTAAAACAGGATCTTTCTAAGTAGACACATAATATTATAAGTTCATTAAACAAGTGACTGACTAAGCACCAAGATCTGTTTTACATAAAACTACCATCATCCTATGCAGCCTGTTCTCATTTGTGACATTTTAAAATCTGAGGGTAATACTTCACATTTATTTATTCTTTTTTCTTCCTTCCTTCCTTTCTTTTTTTTTTTTTTTTTTGGTACTGGGGATTGAACCCAGGGGCACTTTATAACTGAGCCATATCCCGAACGCTTTTTTAATATTTTATTTAGAGACAGGGTCTAAACTGAGTTGCTTAGGGCCTCACTAAATTGCTGAGGCTGGTTTAGAACTTTTGATCATCCTGCCTCTGCGTCCTGAGCTGCTGGGATTACAGGGGTGCACTACCATGGTCGACTTCTTTATTTATTCTTTCTAAATTATTTTTTACTTTTATTTCTTTCTAAATATTTTTTTAGTTGCAGATGGACACAATACCTTTATTTTATTTGTTTATTTATTTATTTTATGTGGTGCTGGGGATCGAACCCAGTGCCTCATGCATGCTAGGCAAGCGCTTTACCATTGAGCCACAACCCCAGACCCCTCTTTCTAAATACTTTAGTCATGTATTTTTTTGTGGTTCAAAAATGACTGAATGTTGGTAATTTAATCTGATGCTGTCCAATATATTCTTGCTCCTACTTTACTCACTCTGAACATTTTTGTCATAATAGAGGTGGTCATTTTAATCACAGTGATGGTGACACTATCATCATCATTGGGGGGGGGGGGTAAATGAGATGCATAGAATTAAGTCTAAAATTGGGGCAAAGGGTCTACTTCTTCAAATATAGAGGAATAGAGGGTAATTTTAGAAAATCCAGAAACACTAAGCTCAAAATTATGTGTTCAATTAAATGGCCTTCATCATGACACTTATTACCATACTAACAAAAACTAAAAAAAAAAAAAAAAAATCAAATCCTTGGGCACTTTACCCCTGAACTCTATCTCAAGCTCTTTATATTTTTAATTTTGAGATGGCCTCACTAAATTGCTGAGGCTGGCCTTAAACTTGCAATCCTCCTGCCTCAATCTCCAGAGTCACTGGGACTTCTAGCCAATGACACATTACCTGTCAAGATATTTAAATTTAGGAAAGGGCACAGCAGCATTAGTCATTCAGAAAATCAGTGTAGGACTGAGAAGAGAGTTACTTTTGAGGGAAAGAAGAGGATGAAAAAAAATGAAAGAGGCAGGAACAAGGTTAGTTAAATTTTTTGTAGTAATTTTTAGTACTACTGTGAGCAGCACTTAAAAAGAACGTAATTAAAACAAAGTGAGATTAACAGTAGTAAATCTTTGTGATTTAAAAATGTTTTCCCCAACTCTAACCATCTATTTCTTTATTTGCTTGGAAAAATATTTAATTTTTTTATATCTGGTTCTGTCAATAATAGTACAGGAGAAAAGAAAAGGTTCTGGAAACCACATTGAGATATGAAAACAAACAATGAGACAAACCATAATGAAAAATGCCTAATGCCTATTCCTTTTTCTAAAGGACATGAAAAGAACAGATGCAAAGAATGTTTTCCAATGTAACTTATGTAAGTTTCATAGGACAGATAAAGAAAAGACTTGCTATTCAATGTAATCCAATCTGTAAATATGATTAGAGGACTAATATATCCCTTATGCCCAGTTGTAGTCTTAAATTTTTGGTTCAATCTCATTTAGAATGAACTGCCTTTTTATCACCTTCCCAAAGGAAATACATGTCAGAAGGCTTAAAATACATTTATTGCCCAATTAAGTCAACCTTAATGGCTGAATAAGGGAATGGCAGTTAATAAGGTGAAGTGGCTACAGAAGAATGCTACGGAGAACAGATAGAAATGGAATTTTTGTGACGAGCCCCTGGACAGCTAGTATCTAGAATCCTTACAAGAGGTGGACCTGTGCCAAGCATGTTCTGACACTCCCTTCAACTCCAGCTCCCTGTCTTTGGTAATTAAAAGCCTTTCTCAGAGGTAACATCTAAAGTTCTCATGTACATAGATCTAAAAGACAGTTTGATTGTTACCCACCTAAAACTGTCTCTAAATGTATCTGAATTTGAAATTTATTCTAACCAATGTCCTAAGCCCCAAATTTTACTGAAAAATTGCTGTTCCCCGTGGAAAATATAAAACTAATTTTAAATGTCACGAACACTGCCAAATGCATTTTAATACTTCCAAGATGAGAGGAATAAATTATAAAGTTCTGAAGTCTTCATACAAAAACCATCTCTTCCGCCCACACATGCCTGTCTTCTTGATGAGCAGGTAGGAACTGTCTCCAAGAATATCAGCCTGTTGTGAAGGAATATTCATGAGGGAACTGAAGGAATATTCTAGCAGAATCAGCTTAGGTATAGTTATGATTTGAACGTTTACTGTTAATGTAAAACAGGCATTGAATAGAGCCGATGTCAATGAATGGGCTTCCTTTGTCTCACAGTCCCACGCCAGGAGTATCCCCCGCCTCAGAAGCTAAGCATACACCATAACAGAATTGTCAAGTTCCTGCCAGTTACAAACATGAAAAGGCACCTTTTTTTTTTCTTTATTTTCATCTGAAAGTTGACACACTGCAGATGATTACTTTAGGATGAGAGGGAAGGACAGGGGAGTGGGAAAGAGGGAAGAAGAGAGACAAACAGGTGGCCACATGATTCGTGTTCCAATTTTCTAACATACGAAACATATTCTTACTGTGGATTTATGTCGGGATTAATTTTTTTCAGTTCCATGATGTCGTCTATAGTTTTTTCAATGGCATCAGGGTGAACACTCACTGAAGTCTGCAACAGCTGGAAAATACACTTTGATCAGTTCCCTTTTGGTTAATGCCAATGGCTTGAACAGGGTCTACTGGAATAAAGGCTTCAAGTGTTAGTTCAAGCTTTTGTATGAAGGTGTAAGCTAAAAGCAAATACTGATTTAACCTATTTGAATTCTAACAAATTTGAACTTTTCATGATAAGGTTAGTGCCATTTTCCTGAAAAAGGTAATTGATGTAAAGCAGAAATATATAAGACTTTTGTTTTGTTTTTACTATTGTCATCAGTTTCAATGTTGTATTTTCTTTTCCTCCCTCGATAAAGTCCCCACTGTTAATGGGCATTCTATGACTAAACAGGGAAGAACATTGGAAGAAGTTCTTAAGGATGCAAAAATTAAATATTAAGATAAAATAACCAAACAACTTGAAAAAAAGCTTTTTTTTTTTCTTTTATGTGGATGCTCAACTATGTGCCATAAAGGCTAATGAAGTGACTTCTTTATTTTACTGGGAGACCTTAAAGTTAGTATAAAGTTAAATCATTTGAATAGTGAGGAAATCCTAGAGAGTTAATATTGTTCCTATATTCAAGAAATATTTCACAATGTGAGAAGATATATAAAAAAGGGTTCATTCAACAATGAAACTATAAGTGCCTCACAACTCTGCCTAGAAATTCAAATGTAGAAAGTACAGTGGTTTGTGATGGGCAAATGATTCTTTCTTTTTAACTTGCATTAGTTTTCAATCAATTTATAATTTTGTTTCTTAAAATTTTTACTTTTTATGATAAGCCTCCTATGCACAGTTGTTGAAAAATAAGGAAACAATTTTACTTACCTTACTTTTAGAATCCCTCAGTGATGTTTCTGTTAAAAAATAACAAAAAGTCACTCAAAAATTACCCTTTACAAAAGGCTGAAAATTACTATAATGAAATTAACATTGTGTCCTCACTCCTGTCAACTCTGCATTTTTCTTTTTTCGGCTTACCAATCTTCATGGTTCTAGAAGCTCCAGGTTTGGTATTGTAGCAGATCCGCTGCAGTTCACATCTTCCAGTTAGCTTCCTCATTACAAACTTCAGGCAGCGCCACAAAAACTTACAGTAAAAATACAGGCACACCTGGATCAACATTCTATAAAAAACAAAAGAGAGCACCCTTCCAATAGAACTCTGGAAGAGAACAGAAAGCAGCCACCACCAGCAAGAAAAGCACCCCACAAGAAAATCAGCAATTAGATGTAGGGGTTTGCAGGTGTACATCTGTGACTTTATTTGCAGGAACTACACTTTCTGTATGAAACTCCAGAATCCCCCTTTCTAGAAAGTTTGATATTCCAACAAACTGAGGATGAAGCATTGGAATACTTTGTCCCTCCCTCTGCCTAAAATGTTTTGGAAATAACTAACCGCCTTGCAAACAGAATTCTTCAATATTTTTGTGCTAATGCTCTATCTAATATTAGAGCAGGGGAAGAAAGTCTTTGCCTTTCCCTTGAGTGAACAGCCTCTCAGCTCACCCTTGTTCTTTTCTAGCCCTTCCTAATGGCATTTATTTATTTAGCCACTACCTGTATTTGTTTCTTCCCCCACTTTCATTCTTTCTTCCTTCATCCTGTTCTCCATTAGGCACTGCTGTCCTCCCTGAAGACTTGGCTGTGTGGCCACCTTTTTCTGCCAACCAATCCCAGCATTCATTCCTTGCACTTGTAGGAAGATTTCCCTATCAAGTCACTGAATGAGCACTGCTGACCTTCAGTTCTCTTCAGAAGTGACAACATTCCTTGATTAAACTTTTCAGAAACTATAAAAAAAAAAAGTCTGTTCTTGGCTCTTATTATGTGAATTTGTCTTTCATGCTGACTTTTTGTTTTAAAAATGTAAGCGCCTACTACTTTATGGAGACTACTGGTCAGAGCCTCAAGTGACTCAAAGTTTTAGAAATAAAGAGTACTTGTCACTCAGGACCTTACATTCAACCCATCTTCTCTTTATATTATTCATTCCTGGGAGGCAGAAATATTTCTATTACTTCCTGTCAGTGTCATTTCTAAAAGATTTTTTTCCCCTCAAATGCTCACTGAATTCTATCTTCAATCACTGCCCTGCCTGGGTTCTGAAATAAGGTGATCCAAGGCCATTTAGATTAGTTAGAGTAGTTAATTAATAGCCTTGACAATGTGATCCATCCCCCCAAATGAACCAATTCCTCGGTTGCTCAAATTGTTCTGGTTCCAATATCTTTAATAGCCTTGTGTTAAAAATTAAAATTCCAACAGTCTTATTTGTACAAAAGCACAGGGTCTATATCTTAAAGTGAATGCAAAGAAATATATGACCAAGCTGATACATTAAGATAACAATGCAGGCAATAACAGTGTCCTAGAATATCTAATAACATGAAAATGTGCATAATATGTTTTTCAAGTAGAAAAAAGTTACAAAGAGATATGTATAGAATGATCTTTTTCTTTAAAAAGCAAAATAAAAAAGTTTTAATAGTGATATATAAATACAGGGGGAGAGAAGGGCAGGATACCCATCAAAAATGTTAACTGTGGTATCACTGCGTAATGGTATTCTCAGTAATTTTTATTTCATTTTTTTGATTAAGTATATTTTCTTTTTTATATAACATATATGTATTATTTTATTGAAGAAAAAAAATGAAAGTTATAACAAAATTTAGAATGCATAAAATGATCACCCAACACCATTACAATAGTGCATATGAAATTTCTATATGTAGTCAGTTACTATAAAATCAGTTGGATTCTGCTCAGACAAAAAATGAATTTACTATGTTATAAAGCCTAACATTCAACTTCTCAAGTCAAATATGTTTTAAGATCTGTTAGGATTTAGGTTAACAGCTTAAAAAAAAAGTAACACTAAAAATAAATTTCGTGGAACATTTTAATTAGACAAGTGAGAAGATTTATAAAATCTCAACTTGTTCTCTTGGAAAATGTTCTTCATTTTTCAACTATTGGATAGCTATGCCAGAAAAAAAAGATTGAGCAGTGTCTTTGTTAACTGGTCCCCTGCCAAATGACAATGATATTAATTACTAGGAGACATTATTCCTATTATTAAGTCAGGGATAAAAGCTTTCCACGATTATCTCTTTCATATGCAATTTTCAATAAAGTCAGCCTCACACATGAGCCAGAAATCAAATGAAGCCATGTTTCAAGTCTGTGGATTAGAACTCTGACACAGCTGGGATCACATGATCATCCGGTTATTGTAGTACTAATTCCTCCTAGAGGAAAGGGTCCTGACAATTGTTTATGGAGTGCTACATGGATCCTAAATGTCCCTCAAAGGCCCATATGTTAAAGGTTTGTTTCTCAGGGTGTCACTATTGGAAGGTGGTAGAACCTTTCAGATGTGGGGCCTACACATGAAGGGGCTGTGGAACTCTGGCCCTCTTTTCATTCTTTTTTGCTTCCTGGTCAAGAAGGTGAGTGGTATTTCTGTCAGGAGTTTCCACCATGATATGCTGCCTTGGTACAGGCCAAAAGCCATAGGGCCAACCCGTCATGAACTAGAACCTCCAAAACTGCCTCAGGTACTTGCTGTCGTAAGGGAAAGTTGACAAACACACAGAGCATGTTTGTATTCATCCTACTTAGGGTACAAGGCACAAACTATTTTATAGTTTAAATTAAGCTATAGAAAAATTTCCCCCATAATCATTATATCAGATCTATGCAAAGATGTGGCTATAGGCTTAGAAGTGTCATTCTTGGTGGCAGGAAGTGCCTATATGTAGAATGACCTATAATTTCTCCCACTGATCTCCTTGTGTATGGGAAGAAAATGCCTGTATTGCTGTTTTGCATCAATACAGTTTGACATAAAGAAGGAAACAAATTCTGTTGGATTTTATCTTTTTCTTTTTTAACTCCTCTGAGGATGTTCATACCATAAGATGGGAAAGGTGGTGCAACCCAGTAGAAATCCAGTGAGGGTTAAGAATGCAGCATCATTTCTGAGGGTTCAAACACTCTGTGAAAAGTATGACATCCTCTCCCATAACCACATAAACATTACAAATCATGGAAGAAAATGCCCATTTTATTGATGAAATGACATTTATACACTGTTATCCTTTTGTAACTTCTAGGCCAGCAGTCCTGATAATGCTATTTATTATTTAAGATATATTTAAAATTTTTCACTTATTCTAATGGGTCAGCATAACCCACAAATATTTCATTAAAAGAATGGCTTGCCTTGCTGGGCACTGTACTTTTTTGCTTGCTAAGTACTATACTTTTTCAATTCAGATAATTAGATTAATGTTTCGACAGACATAATTTCTTTTGCATTTAGGTCCTAAGCCTGGTCGAGGAAAGACATGGTCAGAGAGGGAAACACCAGAGTCATCTCTTACGTATTTTTGATGACAGAAACAATACTCAATTGACTTCCTCATGAAAGGATGAGATGAGCAAATTTGCCATATGCACAACTCAGGATGGGTGCTCACCCACACTGCCAGGAGCTCGCTTCTTAAATTATTTGAACCTATTTGGCTCCCTAAGTCATAAAGTTCACAGGAAAATTGTTACAGGTTGAAAGCAGAACAATAAGAACAATTAAGTATTGAAAGACTGATAATTTGGTTTGGTAAGTTTACCCTGAAAAGGAAGAATCTAAGAAATAGAGTTGCAAATGCTCTTGACTGGTTGGTGTTGGAAGGAAATAAGGAGGGAAGGGAAGAAGAAGAAAGGGAGGAAAGGAAGGAGGAAGGAGAAGAGGATGGGAGGAAGAAAAGACACATCTCTTTGGAAGTTTGGGATTCACTGTACCCTTTCCTCCTCCTAATTTCCTTTGTTTTACATCCTGATCTTTCTGACTGTGTTCTCCCAGAGGAGGCTTTTCAAATAGACCTTGAGACAGACCTCCTTTGCTTTCACTTGCAAAGACTCTCACCCTGTCCGCCTAGGCTCTGCTCCTTTCTCCTCCCAGCCTGAATCAGCAGATCAACAAAGCTGAGTTTTAACTGGGACAACTTTTGCTCTTTTTTTCTTCACAATTCTAGTCTAAGTGTTTTTAGTTCTGTTGGAGGTTTTCCACTCACTGCTGATAAGGTTGATTGTTAGGTTTTATATGAACAACAATTACACCCGCAAGTCTAGAAGGAGAAAATACTGACCACCACTTCATATTTCTAATCACTACATGCATAGGCAGTGTCTCTTTTGCATCTGTTTCTTGTTTTTTTAATCACAGCTTTTTGACAGTGTTCCAAAAAGAGTTGCTGCAGCTTCCCGAGATGAATACCACACTTAAGCACTGGGAGAATCTGATTCAATAATAAGAGCTACTACATGTCCCATTTCCAATATTTTCTGTTACTGCTGTTTATTTAATATGCTACAGAGTGAATTTTATGGCTGAATTCACACCAGCCTTTTTCCAGAAAGCAATTATGATCACGTTTATTATTTAACATCCATTCTCTAGCTTGAAGCAGAATAGCCACCCAAAGTAAATTATTTAAAATGGATCATATCTCTGCCACCAAATAAAAGCGACCTCCTGTCTTGTGCTGCTTTGTTAACAGAATCCATTCATCAGGGATGGGTCTGGAAAACAGAACATTCACCTACAACCGTGTGGCTCCTTGCCTGAAGGTGAGGGGAGTGGGTACCTGTAGTGCAAACTACTCCATCATCTTAAATTTGTGACTCAGATGTCTTCTTTTGGAAAAATAAGAGAAAAGTGGCTTATTTTGAACAATTTCAATGAATGTGCTAATGAAAGTCAATTCTTGCTTGAAGAAATCCTGTAATAAATAAGAAGTATACTATTGGTGAGAAAGGAGACATACAAAAAGAAAAAAGAAAAAGAAAAGATCACATTTCTTAGCTCAAATTAGTTTCCCAAATAAAACACTTTTCATCTAAATTGCCAAAAAGAAGACCAAGCTTCTCAATGTTTCCAGAATTAAATACACTTTCAAAAATGACTTTTTAAAAAATTTTAGTTATTCCATTGAAGTTCTTTATTAGGGACACTGGCAATTGTTGGGGAATTAATGTATCAAAAAGTGTTTGGCCTACTAAATGGAGCCATCTCTAGAAAGAGCTTTCGACCAGGAAGAGAGGCTTCAGAGAACTGGACACATGAACTGGAAATGTAAAATTCCATAGAGAAACTATCTAAGAGCCGCTAAGTCAACAAGCTTTTCCCTCCCATAGAGCAGGGCTGAGGCACAAAGACCCTGTGCCCAGGTATATTGGGGTCCCAAGGTCTTTCCCATCCTTCTTTATCTATATAGATCACACTGCCTTCTGATAAGCAAAAATTAAGGGGGTTGAAGGGTAAATATCTATCATAGACCAATATTATTCCAATTCTATTGCTATAGCAAAGGGCACTATCTTTACATTCCTGGGAAATTTTATCTGTGGGCATGGAGACCAACAGTTGATTGTGGGATAATTAAAATAATAAGTTAATGATTTATCTTTTCCGTTCAAGGAAAAGGAGACACAGAATAATAAATTTAATCTATTAATGACATTATTATTCAAATTAAAAATCTAATGCTTGGATACATGTATTTTACAAGATTTGTTTTTAAAAATCAGATTTTTTTTTCCTTTTTGGATAATATATGTAAGGGAAAGCAGCAAACACATTATACTTTCACATTTATAAAGTATTTAAGTACAATCTCAAATGTACACTTTTATTGGTAAATAAAAAAATATTTTAAAAACAACCAAAATTAAATACATATGTAAATAAAGGGTTGTCACCAAAGGGTAACATTAATCCTTCATCATCCATTATAGGCCTCAAAATAAGGGATAAGGGGAATAGCCCTGTTATTATTATAGATTTTCTACTTAATTTAAAAAATTTAAACCACCAGCTTAGAGGAAATTAAGTTAATTTCTGTCTTAAAGACCTAGAGGAGTTGAAGGAAAGTGATTATGAATAAAATGAAGAGAAGCTGAAAGAAGATAACTGGAAGGTAGTTTACTTATTCCTTCGTGGAATGGAAAAAAAATCCAAAATGAAACTGGCAATGACATATAGAAGAAAAAAAAAGCAGGCACTATGGCAGTGGCAAAAGGGAACAAGAGCCAAGGACTTAATTTTACTTCAAGTCATGTGATGCTGCAGTAAAGGAAAATGACAAGAAAAACTGATAATTTGAGAGAGAGGAGGTGAAGTACCCTCCACTGAGACTGGACAGAAGGTCAACTCTTGATTGTCCTGCAAGGAGGACCCTCCCGGAAAATCAGCATGCCTTCTCACTTCAGAACAAGAGTGAAAACTGCAGTAGATACATGAATGAAATTCAAAGCAACATTTATTGAGTGCCATGGCTTTCACTGATCTTGTTAATGCTCTGCAGGAGGGGCTTAATAAACAGTTACATGTACAAAGAGTTGCCCCTGAAAAACTGAGGGAAAGCAAAGGGCAGGAGAACTGGGATGTAGACGACAGAGCTCTAACAGCATCCCTGGCATCAGCTCGATGGCAATAAGCAGGCTCAGGGGAGGCCACCTGCAGGAAATTGCCTAGAAAGAGATTTAGGTGAATGGATTTTAATGAGTGTGGAAACAGTTTTTGTTTTGCTGCAGGGAAAATAATTTAAAGTATATATGCATATACATATGTGTATATTTGTGTGCATATCTATATAAATGAATATACACATAGTTTGTGGGGGTGTATAAATGTGTGTTCTATATACACACATATAAATATAGTACATACATGTATATATTTGTCCTAAATGAGAAAACTAACTGGTGGAAACACAGTCTATAGTGACAGACGAACTTGGGTGCACAGGCCAAAAACTTTGCCCTTTTCAGGATTCAGCTTTTACATCTCATAAACTCAATCAATGTCTCAAGCAATGCTAATCAAAATCTGGGGCAGCTGAACAGGCATATGCCTTCGGCACTTCAAAAGCAGTGGTGCTGAACAGAAAGTATGCCTAGACAGTCTAGAAATCACACTTCAGATATAGTCCCCACTTGCCACTATTGAGCTGTGTGACTTTGGACAAGCTACTTTGTTTCTCTGGTGAGTTGCAGGGATTGGAATAGATTTCTGGCTCTAAGAGAAGGCTAGACATGTGTTGAAACAGAAAAAGATTTTTGTCTGACTCTCCCTTCTCTTGGTGGTCCACTTTGAAATCGGGGTAAAAATGCTACCATACTTCAGGGCTATTTTATTCTGGTTGCAAAGGTATCTAAGAACTTGAACTCTGCAATGTATTTTCTACTCAAGTCTAAACAGAGTCTACATCCCACAAACCTGGACCACTTATGCTGTGGCACTTAGTCATACTTTCTTTGCTTTGTTCACAGTATCTTTACCTCCCATGTCTTCTATCCTTATTTTAAAATATTAAAGTTCTAAGGGGCTGTGCACGTAGCTCCCTGGTGGCCCTGGGTTTCATCCCAGCACCAAAAAAACAAAAAACAAAAGTCTTAATCCTCTTTATCCCTCAACGAAACCTCTACATGGACATTCCTTCACAAAATGCCTGTAATCTGCCATGGATCACACTTTGTTTTATGTCTTAGTTTTGAATGTGTACACCTCATCTCCTTACCAGACAGTGTGTTACTTTGGAGCAGAGACCATCTCATATTCATTTTTGTATCACCCACAAAGACTCCCAGTGGGCACACAGCAAGAGAGTAACATGAAGCACAATGAGAAACAGGCCTGTGTTCAAATATCTTGTGCCTTTGAGCAAGTTACTTAATTTTGCTTTGCTTCCTTGTCTTGCTCTGTAAAATGGGCTAGTAAGTCCTATTTAATTACGATTTCTATGAAGAGAAAATAAAAGTAGCATAATACTGGCATTATTAGCAGCAAATGCTTACTGAGTGAATCAGAGGACCAAGATATTAGTCGAGTATGAGTGACTTATAAAATCCCATTTACAGTTATTTTTGCTAATGATATGCCTTTATTTACCTAATCATAATAGTAAAATACTTTCCTCCCTCAATTGCCAGGATGAAGGGATAAGTCTGCTGTATGGCTCAAACATTTTCTCCCACAGAGGTTTGAGCTTGACAGATGTTTTCCTTTATTTGCATCTGCCTGAGGAAGGAAAATAGGCAAAGAGGTCCTTAGTCAAGAAATTGAGGTTACAAAGCTGGAATGGTTGGTAGCAATTATTTATATGGCATTACTTTCAAATTCCATTTATTAGAATTTTCCAAAATTAATAATGCTCTGATTATTTAAAAAAAAATGTATCTTGGTCTGAGGATGCAGCTCAATGGTACATTGAATGTAGGTAGGAGATAATGGATAAGTACCTCATAGTCAACCATTTGACTTTAGGCATGTTCTGCATGAAAGGAAAACAAAGTATAAAATGGATAAGAAAATGTGCTTGTGGTTGAGAACGGTGGCACAAGTCTGGAATTTCAGCAACTAAGAAGGCTGAGGCAGGAGGATTCCAAGTTGCTTAGACAACTCAGCAGGACTCTGTCTCAAAATAAAAAAATAAAAAGAGCTAGAGATGTAGTTCAGTGGTAGAGAGCCCCTAGGTTCAATCCCCAGTACGAGGGGGAAAAAAAAGAAAGAAGATCTTCAGTACGAATCTGTGTCCTATCTATAAAAGTGTATCAATTGAATTAAAATTCATAAAATATACTATAAAAATTAAACTCTACCCTTAGTTATATTTGGGGCTTAAAAAGTGCCCTCTCACCACATAAAATAAAGATTAAAAAAAATCCCTTTCTTTTACTGATCACCTGTAGGCTCTTTTCCCCCTCCTCCTCTTCCTCCTTCTCTACCTTTTTTTTCTTCTTCTTTCTCTTCCTCTTCCTCTCCTCTTCCTCCTCCTCCTCTTCTCCTTCTTCTTTTTTATTTTTTCAGTACTGGGGACTGAGCCCAGGGTCACATTTCCTGTGATCTACATCCCTAGTCTTTTTTATTTTTAAGGGTCTTGCTGTGTTGTCCAGGCTGGCCTCGAATTTATGATCCTCCTGCCTTATCCTCTTGAATAGCTGGGATTATAAGCATGTGTCACTGTGTCCAGCCACAGGAACATTTTCTTATCTATTTTATCTTTTGTTTTCTTTTCATGCAGATCTGGCTAAAGTCATATTTGGGTACTATGAGGTACTTATCCAACATTCCATATGTACATTCAATTTAAAACACACTCTGGCCGGGCACAGTGGCCCACACCTGTAATCCCAGAGGCTCACTCAGGAGGCTGAGGTAAGAGGATCACCGAGTTCAAAGCCAGTCTCAGCAAAAGCAAGGCACTAAGCAACTCAGTGAGAAACTGTTTCTTAATAAAATACAAAATAGGGCTGGGGATATGGCTCAGTGGCTGAGTGCCCCTGAGTTCAACCCCTGGTACCTGTAAAAAATAAAAACAAAAAACAAAAACAACCCACATTCTTTAAGCCAGTGTGTTGGCTCACACCTGTCATCCCAGCTACTCAGGAGGTTGAAGCAGGAGAGCAGGAGTATCACAAATTGAAGGTCAACATGAACAGCATAATGTACTCCATCTCAAAAAACAAAGAGCCATACACTTTAGTTGAGTGTACTAAGATTGTAGTATTTACTTCTTTTATCTCAAGTAATTCTTTTCAAACACCCTAAATGTTTTCTCCATTATTTCATACTCACTAATGTATCTAATGGTGGCAGTGAGCCACCGTTGGTGAGGCTTGAATGGCCCCACCAAAACTTATATTGAAATTTCATCTCCATTGTGAGGTATTTAGAGATGGGACCTTTAAGAGATGATTGTGAGGTATTTAGAGATGGGACCTTTAAGAGACGATTAGGTCCTGAGTGCTTTGCCTTCGTGAATGGATTAATTCACTCACCGATTAATGGATTAATGGGTTATCTTGAGAGTGAGTAATCTCTGTGTGCCCCTGTTATCATATCATACCCTGCATAGTCTTGGGACTACAGAATTCCCACCAGCCAGTAGAGCTTCACCAGATGCAGCCCTTCAACCTTGGACCTCCCAGCCTCCAGAGCTGTGAGCCCAACAAACCTTTATTTATGAATTACTTGATCTGAAGCATTTAGTTATAGCAACAGTAAACAAACGAAAACAGGCACCACAAATTTTAAAGTGAATTAAATCTCATTCTTTCCTTCAACCTGCTTTCTTTCAGATTAGCCTAGTTTCTTCTGAGGCTGGGCATACAGCATTTCATTCTAGAACATCTCAGAAGTTGACAGATTAATTTCTCTGTGGGTTTTTAAATAATGCTGAATTCTCAGTAAAAGTCAGCTTCTCATTCTTCATAATATATTTGCTGAGTTCAGGATTATCACCTGATTTATTCAGGCCATGTTTACATAACCTTCTCCTTGGTTCAGATAAAAAAAATTGCCAAGATTGTCCAACATCTGTGGGAATGGACTACAGGGAATAAATGTCAGTCTAAATCTGATGGAGTCAGTGAAGCAGGATTATTACTTCTTGCCCTCTTATCCTTCCAAATTCCATAAACGTTAACATATAGTGAAACCACACGTTATAACTTAATAAAAATACTAGAAACAAAAGCTAAAGGATGGGTAATGACTGAATCTACTTTTATTACTTTAAAAATCAATGGTCAATTAAAATCCTCAAATTTTTTTCTTGATGCAATGTTATCCTAGCTTTTGTTTCACATAGTCAATGCCAAATAATATTTAGAAAATGTGAGTGCCAAGTTAAGAGAAATTTTGTACCAGAATACATAACTGATAGGGATGTACTGGTTCTATTATCATTGGTGCTGGGCTATGCAAAATTGTAGTGGTAGATTTTCACTATACCAGTTCTAAATCATTATATACAAATTGATTCTAAAATATAATCTCTACTAAATGTACTGTTGCCACTATTCAACAACAACAACAAAAACTAACAGAATCAAAAGCTACAATCTCTCCTAAAATGGCTGATTCTGAGTCCACTCAAGTTTTTCTAAAACAAATAAGACACTGAAGAAGAAATTCAAGTGCAAGGCTTGGCACAAACCTTACCACCACCATTACCTCTTACACAGGGCGCTCCTGACTTCTAAGCTTCAGCTAACACTAAAGCTTTCTGTTAACATGCTTCTGCAGTGAAAAGACCCACATTGACATTGGAGAGGCATTCATAAATTCAAATTTTTCACGGATGTGTAAACAGATGGGTTAATTACCATGGCAACCAAAAACATAACAGGTCAAATACTTGGCTGGCAAATGTCTTAGTGATATTTCAAGTACTATCCTTTTAACATAGCTGAGATAAACAGGCTGGAGAGTATTCTGTGCAATAAAACAAACCGATGTCTGGAAGTGGTTTCACAGTGACCTGCGGATAGGTTTCCACAATTCTAAGATCCAGTAAACACCAGCAGCCATATCAAAGCACAGTAAATCTACACAACCTGTCTGTGCCTCCAGAGACAAGGGAACCAAGATCAGTGGGAAAAATAAAATCTTAGATTGCAGCCACTGAAAGAATCAATTTCCTAAAAGAAACAAGCCCACTAATGATTTCCTTAGAGAAAAATCAGAGCAAAATAAGAATGTGCATTAAGGTAAGTCACTATCTTGAGGCAGAGAATGCCAGTCTTCTGGAAAGTGTGTTGAATTTTCTAACATTCAGGATGAGAGTGACTTTATTTTGTTATATTTTAATATGGTATAAAATTTCACAGGGAATTCCATTAGTCCTCTTGAAAATCATCCTAAATATAAGTCTCAAAACAAAAACACCCTAAACACACCATCATACAACATACTCAAGCTATTCAGTCTTCAGAAAACCAATCATAAATACAGATTTCAGAAATATCATTGAGGTAGCAAGAGCAGAGCCTAGAAGAAACTAGGCTAATCTTGTTCAGATTGGCCAGCCAACCAAAATCTAAATTAAGGGATATTTAAAATTACTTATTTCAGGAAATAATTTTATACAAATGTATTAGTTGGTTCCTTGACTGCTGGCTCCTTAAGCCTCAGCTTTCAGCCCAGCAGCATACCATACCATTCTTTAGAGACACACGCCATCAAGGTTGTCCAAACTACTCATGATTTTGTGCCCATGTTCTTTTGTCTCCTACAAGTGCTCTGTCACAGGATCAATGTGCATTGAGGGTTGGCAGAGGAACTTTATGACCAAATTATTCTTGTCCAAAATGACAAAACAGCAGACCTGGTCATAGGATTACAAATGGTGAACAGAAATACTACCCTAACTGGCAAAAAAGTTTCTTGGCTCTAGTGGGCTCATCCAGGAAGCCACAATCACTTACCTCAAGAAGTGCTTCATTGTGCCTCTGTTGACTATCCAGATGCTAGGCAAACCGTACTTCCAAATCTGCTTTTGTCTAAGTAAGTGTGAACTGTGGGAAGAAATTAGATATATTTACTAATTAGGGGACAAAAGACCCTAAACCAAAAATTTCTGCTCCTGAGGTAAGTGGACCAGAACACCATCCACACAGTTCACAGAGTTCAGGGGATGAAGATTACAACTATAGCCTCTCACTTTATAAATATATAATATATAATAAACCTTTCATTTTAAGTCACTTGCTGGAGAAATTATTAGTTTCATGAGCTTCAGTACTAAGGGTTTTTTCCCTCTATTTTGGGCATTATTCTTGTATCTTGAGGAAGGGTATTTATAAGGAAAATAAAAATAAAGAACAATAGATGTAACAAACTATCTTGATTTCCAGATACCCACCTTGGCAGCCTCAACCCTTCAGAAGTACAATTGAAGAAGAACTAGAAACAACTGATAATGTTATTAAGCTCATACTATATGCATATTTGAAAATATCACACTGAGCCCCACTAAAAAGTACAATTAATACAATATTAATAAAATAAAAAAATAGCTATAAGGAGTCAGGTACTCCAAACAAATAAATGATTCTCCAGGTGCTATTTTCTGGGGCGTGGGGTGGGCAGAGCTATAAGATTTTTATTTGCACAGCACTTCTAAGTTTACAATTTGCTTTCACAAAGCTTACAACATCAGTCTTCTTCATTCTGAGATGGGATAAGACAAACTGGAGAATACAGAGTGTCTGGGAAGTGACAGCAGAGAGGAAAGGAGTCACCTCTGGAGAGGAGAGACAAGTGGAACAGCAGCTCTAAGAGGATCGTGAGGAAACGCATATATGAACAAATGGCAGAAGACAGACACACAACTACCAACTAGAATAGCCCAGAAATGGGGGAACTCAGCCCCAATCAAAGCCAGTTTTTCAATAATATATTTTTTTCTGCAAACATTCCATGCATAGTTGAGAGAAATGTCTATACAGCAACTTAAGATTGTGGTTGGTTCATTACCTTTGGGAAAAGACTCAGGGCTTAAGCATAGGGAGAGGGAAAATAACCTTTAATTTTATAAGTTTTTATTTTTCTTAAAATAAAAATGTAGGAAAATAAAGAAGGATTATTCATTTTTGGTGGTGGGAACATACATTATTTTTTGCAATTTTGTGGCTTTTAAATATGAATCTGAATTTTAATTTAACTTGGTTAGTGCCCACCCGGAACTCTGATCATGGCTTATAATACATTCAACAATAAAGGGACCCAGGGATCCTTGGACAATAGTTTATTTAGGGCCGGGGGAGGGCAAGATGAACCTGAAGTGCTCAAGACAGACAATGTAGGGTATGTCAAATAAACACAGCTGCAAACTGAAAGAGCTCTCAATGCCCAAAAATTAGAATAATCTAAGCAATGAAAATAAAGTAGAACTGATTATGGCCCAAAGCATAACATAAAGATTCATGGTTTCATACTGATGTAAATATATGACCAAATAAATAAATGTGGAGAATATATAAATCTCTTATACAAAAGAATTTCAAATAGTTTATGTGGATAGTCTACACTCAAGGAGGTGAAATGTAACTCCTTACCCTTTAAGTGAAGGCAGGACTTACAGATTTTCCCAGTACAGTATGCAAATTGACCCCCCAAAAAAAGCAAAGTAGAGAAATCTGACAGGTACTGCCTTGGTTAAGTGTTGAAGGCTAATATCACCAGTGAAACATCAGGTTAACAGCAGGTAACTTGACTTAATATGATGAAAATGGTACTTTACTCCTAAGGTTTCCCTTCACAAAGCCCCCCAAAATCTAGTCTAATCATGATGAAAACTTCAGATGAATTCTAATTGGAGAACATTCCACAAAGTACCTATTTAGTACTTCTCAAAACTCTCATGAGCATAAAAAAAAAAAAAAAAAAACAAACCAAGGAAAATCTGAGAAACAATCAAAGGAGATGTATGTCTAAGGAGATATAACTTTTAAATGTTATGTATCCTGAATTGTATCCTCAAACAGAAAAAAAGACATGAGATAAAAACCACAGAAATCTGAATAATGTATAGATGTTAGTTAATAATAAGGTGTCACTACTGGTCTATTAGTTGTGGTGAATGTCTTAAAGTTAACAATATGGGAAGCTGGGTGCTAATATAAGGGAATTCTCTGTAAATCTAAAACTATTCTAAAATAAAAAGTTCATTAAAATGTGTTTTAATAACTATTATACTCTAGACACAGAGTTAGGCACCAGGGGTCAGGGTGAACTAAAAGGGCATGACTCTATCCTTCAGATTCAACTGTCTTGAGGGAGGATGGGAGAGAAGATGATATAGAAAAGCAAACCATATGTAAAAACAGCATTAACCCAGGAAATGGGTGACAGTGAGTAGGAGAGATGCCAATCCTAGCTGAAGGGCTTAGGGTTTCCCCAGACAACACATGCAAAATACTAGAAGCAAAACAAAACACAATGTGTACAGGGAGAAATGTTCAATGTGACTTAACTCATTGAGAGAGACAGGGAAAAACAGGGATGGCAAAATATGGAAAGGTAGACACTCCAGAAGACCCCACCTACAACTGTTGAGAAGAGAAGCTGAGAATAATTTGAACTGCAATGGAAAGAATTCTTTAAATTTCATCAAAGTTATTATTATTATTATTATTATTCACTGTTTAATTGTGACCTTAATGCTACATGGACGTTTATACAGTTTCCTATTTTTTTTTCTTCTCATCTCTAGCATTTTTGAAGCCAGTTATTTTACATGGATTAGTTTTTGTAAACTTAGGATGTCTGATTAGTATAGTTTAGTTTTGTTTTATATTCTTTTATTTTTATTTATTTTTGGCAGAGCTGGGGAATTATTCTTTTATTTTAATTTAAATTTTTACTTTATATAAATATTTTTTCCTGCCTGTTTCCCTTGATTCTCTCTTTTCTTCTCCTAACAGCCAATCTCTATTATTTCTTTCTTTAACTCTTCCTTTAACCTTTCACTTCAATCTTTCCTTCTCCCTCATAATCATCACATCCTATATCACTTCTGTTCTCTCCCTGTATACCATTTGAAAATGTAAATCTTTTTGCACACTTGCTGTTTTTATTATAGGCATAACTGATCATATCATTTCTGTTTACTGTGATAATTAACATTGTAGATGTCACAGTAGGAACTATTTGGTCAATGCTGTAAATTGTTTGCATTGGTTGTTATTATTTGTCTCCCCCTAAACAGAGGCATGGAAAACCTTCAGAAACACTATAAGACCACAGGGTAGAAATTCTACTGCCTCAGATTCATACTGTTAGATGGGCAGACACAAACAACATGAAAAAGCAAGGGAACAAATCACCCCTAGCAAACCAAGATGCTCTAAAAAATAGAATCTGTTGCTACCATAGTGGAAGAAATGTCAGAGATGGAGTTTAGAATGTACTTAGTTAAACTGATCTGCAAAGTAAAGGATGATGTAAGAGAGCAAACACTGGTAGCAAAAGATCACTTCAATAAAAACATAGATAGTCTAAAAAAAAAAAAAAGAAAAACAGAAATCTTTGAAATGAAGAAAAAAAATAAACCAAGTTAAAAATTCGATAGAAAGCATCACCAAAATACTAGACTACTTGGAAGTCAGAACCTCAGGCAATTAAGACAAAATATATAATCTTGAAAATGGAGTTGACCACAGAGAGAAGATGTTAAGAAACCATGAATAGAACTTTCAAGAATTTTGGGTAACATAAAGAGACCAAATTTAAGATTTATTGGGATAGATGAAGGTGTGGAGATACAAACCAAAGGAATGCACAATCTTTTCAATGCAATAATATCAAATTTCCCAAATCTAAAGAATAAAATAAAAAATCAAATACAAGAGGCTTACAGGACCCCAAATGTACAAAATTATAACAGACCCACACCAAGACACATTATAATGAAAATGCTAGCAAACAGAAAAAATAAGGATAAAATTTTAAAGGCTGTGAGAGAAAAACATCAGATTACAAATAGGAGGAAACTAATTCGAATCTCAGCTGATTTCTCAACCAAGACCCTCAAAGCTAGGAAGGAGTTCCTGGAATAACATATATCAAGCTCTGAAAGAAAATGGATGCCAACCAAGAATCTATTCTATATTTGGCAAAATTAAGCTTCAGATTTGAAGATGAAATAAAAACCTTCCATGATAAAACAAAAACTTAAAAAACTCACAGCCAGAAGTCCTGATCTTCAGAATATTCTCATCAAAATACTCCATAAAGATGAAATTAAAAAAAAAAAAAGAAAATCAGCAAAGGGAGAAACTACACTAAGGAAATATTAAATCAAAGAGAGAAACTAATTTAAATTAAAAAGTAGAAATAAACCAACATGACTGGGAACACAAATCATATCTCAATGATAACCTTGAACATTAATGGCCTAAAGTCATCAATTGGATTGGATTAAAAAACAAGACCCAACAATATGCTGTCTCCAAGAGATTCACCTCACAAGGCAAAGACATCCACAGACTGAGGATGAAAGGATGGGAAAAAAGGTATTACTCACATGGATTATGTAAACAGGCAGGGGTTTCTAACCTCTAAAATAGACCAAGTTATGTAAGCTATATAATTGTAATTATGCAATTGTAATATTACCTTAATACGTTTTTAGGGGTTGTTTTGATAGCTTCCTTTCCACTGATATTAATTTTTTCTTGATTAGACTTGTTAGATTTTTATCAACTTTTAGCTGTATTAATTCTTTTCTATTTCACATATTTCTGCTCCTACTTTTTTTCCTTCCTTACTAATTTGAAAATAATTTGATTGCTAATATAGCTTCTTTCTGATACAAATACTTTAAGTTATAAGTGTTCATCTGAGTACTATTTTGTTCCCAAAGATTCTGATATTTTAAGCTTTTATTATCACTTAGTTCAAAGCACTTTTAATTTACTTTTCTTGTGCTTTATTCTTTTATCTGTGAGATATTTATAAGTGTGCCATTTAATTTTGAAGTAGTTGAGATGTGAAGGTGGGGTTCTATATATCT